CCACAGACGGATGCTCTTGCATTTTTTTCAGAGCATTGTGTCCCTTACTGTGCTGGTTCTCCGTCCCACAGTCTACACAAGTTTGCTGACAGAACTCGTGGGCTCGCAGCAAGGGGCAGGCAGCTCACTGAGCACAGGCCGCTGACAGCCTTGACCGAGGGCGGAAGGAAAGTGACCCAGCGAAAAACAGACAGCAACACAAAGCCTCCTGGGCTGGGGATTACCGGCCACCTGACACTGCAGCGACTCCTGAACTCAGCTCCGCCCTTCGGTGTGACGCAAGCACATCAGTGCTAACACTGTCTCAAAGCCACGGGGAAGGGAGTTTTGGAAAACAGGCTTGAGCACAAATCCCAACTTCTCCTTAGGGGGCCTTTCATTCATGTTGAGGGGCTTAATGGCCATTTTGGTGGCCTGGGACGACGTGGAAGGGGGCAGTCTGGAATGGAGAAAAGGCTTGGGCTGCAAATGCCATCAGACACAATCCACTGCTGGTTGTCTGACCCCTCCAAGCCCATTTCCTGCTCTGTAAAACCAGCGACCACCAAGATTCCTTCCTTTCAGGCTGCTGCAGAGGCCAGGCCAGTGGCTGGCCCTCAGCAAGCACTTGTAGCCCACCGCTGCGGTCGACACTGTCATTTGCGGAGTAAGGGAGTGGTGAAGAGGCGAGCACGCAGACGGCGAACATCTTAGATGGAGTATTTACTTGCCTCTCCTCCTTCCACCTGTGGTCTTCCCTGCCCTCAGAACAAGCCAGGAAAGGGACACGTTTATGTCACGGCTCTCAGAAAAGGTACAAAGCAAATGTGACTTGGAGCCACATGTGTGATTTACCACACTTCCCACGCAGCCCTGCCTGCCAAGAAGCTGGGAGCCAAACTTCAAACTCAGACCAACGGCATTAACCCGTTGCAAATAGCTAGCAAACTACACCATTTCCTTTGGTCCTCATCTGGTGGTTGTACTTACACTTAGCATGGCTTTAGTAATCAGCCCACCCAAATCCATGGCTTGGGGACTGGAGCGTGCAATAAGCAAATGCACTGAAGGGGGTGGGGTAGGCGGGGACTGGGGAGGGTGAAGTTTACTGGCAGGAGAAGTTATACAAATGGGCCCTTTCTCAGGGCAATGGAGCCTAAATCCATGGTCTGGGGAATGGAGTGTGCAATAAGCAAATGTATTAAAGTGTTTGTTTGTGCAGATTTCTGGTGGGAGAAGTTAAGACAGATGGTCCCTTTCTCCAGACAATGGAACCTGCGAAGCTGCACTCCACATCTCTTCCTACAGCAGGAGGACCCTCGACTGCCGAAACAAAGGCACAAAATTAAATGTCCATCTCTTCACGGCTAACTGCAGGATTACCCTCAGCCGCTTCCCAAAACAAGTCAGAAACTGGATAGGTCGGAAGTTGAAAAGACACACCACCACTTAAACACACAAAAACTCGGATGCTAAGAAACAAAGGTGTCGCCATTCCAGCTCCTGAGGGGAGCATGCTGCTGTACACAAGCCCGTGACGGGGCTGTAACTCTGCCAGGAGTCAGGAAACAGCCCAAGGCCCCACCTTCGGCAAGCTAGCCCAGAGGATGGAAACATTTGACTTCTAAATCAAAAGGCTTTTCGTCGCTCGCTGCTCTCAAGTGCAGGCGTGCTGGTGGCACGGCAACTAAAGCCCCCGGTTGCTCACCGCCACCCACCACCCCAATCTCCCCAGTTGTGCACGTCTGTGTCTGTAGGTCGACAGCCTGGGAAATACCTGGTTCTTTGGGGTCACCAAGAGTCGGCTGTGGCCCTCAAGCCAAGCCTGACCCACGGAGTCCCGTGCGCGTGGGGCAGAAACGCACCCTGCGGGCTTCCTTTCCGAAGCAGGTCCTCGGAGCGCGCCTGGGCCCATTCCAACCACCCACCTTGCAGCTAAGTGGTGGAGGGCTCAGCCATTTGCTGCACACAAGACTGCCCCAAAGGGTACTCACGCACTGCCAGGGGCCAATGCCAACGGACAGCGACCCCGACAGGACCGGGTGGAACTGCCCCTGTGGGTCTGCTGAGACTGTCACTCTTTACAGGAGCAGAAAGATGATCTTTCTCCTAGGGGGGCTTCGTTCTGTTTTAATAGAATGGTGAGATCGATGGCACAAGCCCCACTTACTCTCCAAGACAGTCTGCTCCCGGGGGCTCTTCGCCCCTTCTCCCTTCCCTGTCGCCCCCGTGTCTTTCTGGAGCTTCCTGCCCGCTTCCGCGGCAGTTGCTTCTCCAACCAGTCGTTGCCAAGGAGAAGTGTGGGTCAGCATGAAGGACGACAGCTCTGGGTCTCTGCTGCCCTGAGGAGCACCCAGAGGGAGGCCGGTGCTTTGGTAGAGGGGGGTTTTATACCTTATTGTCACGAGAGTGTTTCTGATCGAAATCCTCTGCTGGCCTATAAAACTGTTTGTCTAACTTAAGCGTGAATGTTTTCTCAATCACGTCAACCTGCTGCAGCGATTACTTCCAGGTGTGGGCCCCTGCACCTTCTCCTCACAGGGAGGTCGGGTCTCAGTGGGATGTTGGGGAAGGGACGATTTATCATAGATTGTGATGCTGACCCTACACCAAACCACGCTGAGGAAATAGGGTTGCTCTAATAATCCCCTCACATTTAGAGCTGACACCGTAAAAAAATAACTACCAAAGCATAAAAAAAATTCCACTGCTACCATCTCTTAATGACTCCCTAGGACACAATAGACCCGCCCCTTTGGGTTTCCGAGGAGGTGAATCATTATGGGTGAGTTATAGGCATTTCATATGGTCCTTCTGTCCGTGTGACTAAAGTCCTGGCAGGGAGGACTTTCTCTACCAATGGACAGGAATAGTGTGGGGTTAAAACCTCACCCAAGTAGAGGATATGAATCGGGCTATGCCCTTTGCTTTCTTGGGCACCTCTGACTGCCTTAGCAGCATGAAGCCACCCTCCTTTGGGGGTGGAGCTCCTGGTTCGAGCACACCACACCTCACCTAGAAGTCATCCGTCTATTTCCTGACTGAGCGATGGTAAAAAGCAAGAAGACCTGCTGAGACTTTCGAACCTTTGGCTCTGACCCTGAACCCTGCATTTGGATTTGGACTGAACAGCACCTACCACCCCATGAGACATTCCTCAAGGTTCCGTGCATGTCTGTGGGACATGAGGGAATGTACTCAAGGAGGGACGGGGTGGACGATGGAGAATAGTTTCTTGGAAGAGCTGGACATTTGGGGTAACTTTAATCCCCAACTCCTTGGGACTAGTCTGGCATTAATCCTTCTAAGAGAAATTATTACCACAATGGGACTTTAAATAGTTCACCTAGCGGGTTAGAACTGCTGACCGTGCAGTTAGCAGCTCAATGTGTAACCCACTTGGCCATCAGCGCTCCTTGGAACACACAGTGGCCATTAAAGTCAAAGCCAAGGATGGCCAGGAGCCAGTGTGGCAATTCTTCTGCTAATTTGTAAACAACGTGTTAATCATTTCATTTTGAAAATAAAATTTTTACCTTTAATACTTAGTGGAGACGTATACAAAGAGATTGCTTCTAGTTCTCCCACCATTCTCTAAAATCAGGTCAACTATTATTCCTAGCAAAGGCCACATGATGAGAAATTTATAAAAATCCAACTATCCACTGAAAATAAAAAGACTTGGGTGAGTTTACATTGGAGGAAGAAGCAATATTGTTTTGGGATTTTGGTTTTTTTCACAGGGAATTGGGCCAAGGTAAACTTTATGGGCCAATTAGAATATTGGCAAGTCAGATGTCCTTTTTTTCCCAAACAGATTAATTGAAACATAATTCACATATCATAAAATTCACCCTTTTAAATTAAGTGTTAAACTCAAAGTTTTATATTATGTTCACAGGGTCATATAAGCATCACCACAATCTAATTTTAGAACATTTTTCATGCCCCCCCAAAAGAAACCTCATATTCACTAGAAATAAACCCCAATTCTTTGTTCCCCCTTGCTCCAGTCACAAGCATCTAACTTACTCTCTCTACGATGGTTTGTCTACCCTAGAGATTTCATACACGTGGAATTACGCAATATGTGATCTTTTGTAAGAGTTCTTTTCTTGGCACAATGTTTTCCAGGTTCATCCATGTTGCAACACATATCAGTACTTCATTCTTTAATTGCTGAATCATAATTCTACTAGAGCAACGGTTCTCAACCTGTGGGCTGCCACCCCTTTCGGGGTCCAATGACCCTTTCACAGGGTCGCCTGATTCATAATAGTAGCAAAATGACAGTTATGAAGTAGCAACGAAAATAAATTTATGGTTGGGGGTCACCACCACATGAGGAACTTTATGAAAGGGTTGTGGGATTAGGAAGGGTGAGAACCACTGTCCTATGTGGATATATTATTGATCCATTCAACAGTTGATGAACATTCATGTTGTTACAAGTTTGGAGCTATTATAAGCAATTCTGCTGTAAATACTCATGGACAAATCTTGTGTGGGTATATGTTTTTGTTTCCATTTGATCGAGGAGCAGAACTGCTTGATCATACATATGGTACAAGTGATTTGTTTTTAACTGCATGACAGCAATAATATATCTCCACAGTCAACAGAAAAAACGCAAGAGCTGTTGAACACTTCCTCCCCTCAAATGGCCCACCCACAAATACTCTCCATGTATGGCCCTGCTTTGCTGGTATCACCCTCTGCCCACCCAGTCGATGCCAAAGACTCTGGGGTCCACTAGATAAGAGCGAATGAAGGCCAGATAGCCAACACTCGTCTGTCAGTTGGTCAGACTGTGGTAGCTTGCATATTCCTTTGTTGTTGGAAGCTATGCCACCAAATACCAGTAGGGTCACCCGCGGTTGGCTTAGAAGTACAGTCAGGTGGCTCCTCAGAAGCAAGGGTGGTGAGACTGCCTCGCGGACTTTGGACATGTTCTCGGGAAGGAAGAGTCCTGGGGGAAGAGATCCCGCCTGGCAATGCAGAGGATCAAGGAGCAGAGAAAGGCGCTCGGTGGGACGGGTGGACGCAGTGTCTGCAGTACGGCGCTCAAACAGCCAGGACAGGCAGAAGGGTTCGGGATTGGGTAATGTTTTGTTCTGTTGTACAGTAAGAAGGCAAAATGGAATTGGGAAGGTATGGGGGCAGACCAACCTCTCGATCGGGCCACGGCCTAAGGACGTCTCCTTGGGGGTGTGGCCTATGTATAAGAGACATTTTGGAGGACTGACTTCTCTCTCTTGCCCTTCTCCTGTTTCCTGATTGCTTGGATCCGCTGGTCTGGCTGTTGGGGTCAGTGGCCCATGTAGACTTACAGCCCTGGGAGCTGCTGGCACCCTGCTGCCATGTCCCTGCTGACCTCAGATCCATGAGACGCTGCGCCCACCAGCCTGTGATCTCCCAGCTTTCACTTCTCCTACCTGCCTCATCACCTGGCAGGTGTGTGAGTCTGAAGGCACTCGTGGACTTGAGTTGGACTGGGCTAGGCTACTTCCTTGACATAAATTTCTTTCTTGATCGAAAGTTCTTTCTTAAACACTGGTTTTGTTTCTCTAGGAGATCCAGCCTTACACAAATATGCCAAAAAAATCTTGTTTCGCACAGGACTGAACTGCAACCATGTAATTTTAAGGGTTCCCAGAGAGGGAGCTGATGGAATTCACCTCGGTTGCAGATTCTGAGAACTATCTCCAAAGCATCCACCCATCACGATCATACACCCATGGAGGAAGAAGACGAACATTCAGGTTAGTAGAGAAGCTTGAGGCACTGGATCGTACCAGTCGAAATGGTTGGATTAGTCTATGTTCTACTGCAGATGGGTGTTCAACAAACAATGAACTTGAAACACGTCTTAAACCTCAGCGACTACCCTCCACTGGCTTCCAGTCCTCCTCACTGGACGCACTCTGCCCGCGCTATCGGCTGAGGTGCTCTTCACGCTCATCTAATAAACCCAGTGCGGAGGGTCCTGCGGTCAGTCCTGCAGGTGTTTTTCTTCCGCGTCTCCAGTCTTAGTTGACGTTATTTTCAGAGCCCACACAGTCCTGCACAACGTGAAAGCACGCAGCACCTGCTGCTGCCCCGCTGCTGCTTCCATAACTGCAGCTTCGGACGTTCTGTCCCTCCCTCCTCAGGGCCTCTGGGGGAAGCACATATAAAATGAGTAATTGCTGCTGCGAAATAACTGCTAGAGTCAGCAACGCCTCCCAGGAACTGCGTCTCCTCCTCTCCTCCCCCAGAACTAAGACTCGCAGACGAGGTGCTGGGAGAAGGCACGCTGACCTGAAGTATGTGTTGCAGCAACAGGGCAAGCAACCAAGAGTATTAACAATAATTTCCAACGTAGCTCAAAAGGTTAGATGATCTGTCTTTGAAAAGCGCCAACTCCACACACTTTCTTGAGATTAAAATCGGGTTGTTTTTCCTACTCAACTCCTCCCCTCTCCTGTCCTACTCCACCCCCACCCCACCTAAAAAAAAAAAACGAGGAGGAGGAGGTGTGGGGAGGCTCTGGAAATGAACTTTCTTGACCAGAGAAAGCTCACAGCTAGATTCCGTGCTGCATTCGCCTGCTTCCCTGGACTTCCCTGTGACGGGGCTGCACTGTGGTTCTCTCCCTGTGGAGGGATCCATGCTCCAACGATCACCTGTGGGACACACGGGGAGCCAGAGTAACACAGTGTACAGGGTTGGCGGAATGGATTTTCCAAAAAGAAGCAAGACGGCCATGTCCCCAGCACCCTGGCCAGTGCTGAACTACAGTACAGGAAAGAAGAGGCCATTCCTCAGTTTGAAGGCGACAATGTCGGGCAAGGGTGTGACCTCTGCCTCGGTGTCACAGGCTAGTGACAGAACTCCCTGGGGTGAGTGTGCGAGAATGTTCTCAAGAATATCTTTTAAAGTAATAATAAGGTGCCACATCTTTCTTCTGTGCCTTCTTATTCTTTCCTCGTTTTGTCCTATGAGCCCATTGCTCCCTGAGGAATGTTTTCCTTGCCCCTTCCTTATCCTATAGGTGCGATTAAAAAAACAAACAACAGAACCCCCCCCCCCCATTGAGTCAATTCTGACTCAGGGTAACTCTGTAGGGCAAGGGAGAACTTCCCCTGTAGGTTTCCGAGATCATGCCTCTTTGCAAAGCAGGAAGCTTCATCTTTCACCCACAGGGCAGTAGGTCGTTTTCAAACTGCTGATCTTGCGGTGAACCGCCCAACTCGTGGCCCACTATGAAATTCTTATGAACAATCTTGCCTACATGGGGGGAGCGGGGAAAGGAGAAGCCAAGCAGTCTCTAGAGAGAGGAGTCCTGTCACCCATCCAAAGAGAAACCCTTCTCTCTCCAGTCTACGTTGTTTCTTGTTCTCCAGCACGCTTGTTGGACCCCAGAATGGAAGGAAGGGCCTCTTTGTTCACCCCACTTTAGTGGACCGCTGGGCCTACCTCTGTGGGTGGCTGGCCGGGCCTCTTGTCCGTGGTGCGCAGGTTCAGGATGTGCACCTCCTGCGGCAACGAGGTTGTGCCCCTGCTGGCGCAGCCTGACAGGACGGTGAAGCTCTCCATCAGGGCCTGCACGGGGTGGGAGGCGTTCACGGGCGACAGTTCACACCGAGGCCCGGGCTGAGGACCTAGAGAGAACAGAAACACAAACCCCTCAGAAACTATGAAGAACTCTGCTTCCAAAGCCAAACCCCCAGCTGACAGTTCACACCGAGGCCCGGGCTGAGGATCTAGAGAGAACAGAAACACAAACCCCTCAGAAACTATGAAGAACTCTGCTTCCAAACCCAAACCCCCAGCTGATGAGTGGACTGCAACTCATGGCCCGCACACCCCCCCCCCTCCATGCACTGCCGAGCAGAACTGCTTCTCGGGGTTTTCTTGGCCGCAATCTCCAGGCCTTTCTTCTGTGGCACATTTGCGTGGGTTTGAACCACCAACCTTTAGAGTAGTAGCTGAACACAAACCAGCTGAATACCACCCTTGGGCTTTTCTGGATGACCAGAACACTGCCAGCACACTAAAGAAACTTCTCAGGTAAGTTGTTCCCAGAATGAAACGAGGGGAAAAAGAATGCTAGCCTATTCCTCTAAAGCTGAAGTCTCTGGACATTTCTTTGGGTGATTTTTGACAAGTATTTGTAAGTCTCCAGGATGAGGAAACCTCCCATTTGACATCTGCATTCATCCTTTCCTTCCTCTCTGAGTAGAAATTGAAGATAAATGGAATCGCTTGCCTAAGCCCCTGGTAATAATATGCATAAAATGTAATATTATACATAAAACTCACACTCTCACTTACTCACTGCTTTTGAGTTGATCCCAACTCATAGTGACCCTATAAGACAGGATAGAACTTCTCCTGTGAGTTTCCAAAACGGTAACTCTTTACAGGAGTGGAAAGCTTCATCTTTCTCCCTTGGGGCAGCTGGTAGTTTTGAACTTCTGGCCTTTTGGTAGCAGCCCAACAAGTAACCAACAAGTATAACACTATAGCCCCCCAAAAGTAAGACTCCTTCCCCTCTTAGGGAAAGCAAAGGCAACATACAAGCAATACAGGGCCATTAGAGCCAGAGTTATATTATAGAGCAGAGATGGAGCCAAGGGCCAGAAAAAGTCCTCCCCGAAGGGGGAGGGCAGGAGTGGAGCCTGAAAGAGAAAAAGCACAGTCCTGGTCATACGTGGTCCCTGCTTCCCCATTCTTCTTCCCTCCAACAACTCACACCTTAAGCTTAAATCCGCCTATTCCTCCTCATCCCTACTTCCTGAAGCCCCTACTGCCAAACCCGAACCAAGCCCGTCACCACCCAGTCGGAACCAGCTCAGGGCGACCACCGTGTGTCAGGGTTGAGCTGTGTGCCACAGCATTCTGAAGGGCTGCAGTCCCCAAAGAGACATTCCTTCTAGGGAGCCTCTCGCACCATTGAGCGAGCGTCCGGGTGACAGAGGGGCATTTAACGACTGCACCACTCAAGGACTCCTCGAGATGCTCCGTAAAGGCGCTGGAGGGCCACCTTCCCAGCCGCCTCCTCACTGCCACTGAGTTGATGCTGGCTCCTAGCAACCCGACAGGACAGAGTAGAACTGCCCTGTGGGTTTCCAAGACAAACTTTTTAAGGGAGTAGGAAGCCTCATCTTTCTCCTGAGGAGCGGTTGGTGGTTTCAAACTGCTGACCTGGCATAACCCACTATGAAATCAAGGCTCCCCTTTCTAAATTCCACTTTATGGTTATTTCCAATGCAAATGCTCTCTCCTCTCTCCCTTGAGAACAGCCCCCCCACTGAATGAAGCCTGAATGCCTTCCTATCTCCCCATCTCGAGCAACACCAACTTGCTCTCCAAGAACTCCCAACATACCACGCTGTTTCTCAACACCATGTCTTTACCCGAGGTTTCCCTGGCTCTTCCTTTTCCACTCAAACTCCACACCTGCCCCTTACAAACATCCCCCATCAGCCCAGCTGAGGGGGCAGCTCCTCCTCTGCCTTTCTCTCCTAGGCTGTGGACCACTGGAACAGCCTCTGGTGCTGATGAGTGGCCTTCCAGAGGCTGCTGGGGGGCTCATGTCTGTATCCTCAGTACACACCACAGTGCCATCTGACACAGAGCAGATGCTCAAAAAATATCTCCTAAGTGAATAAATGAATCAGAGAACTTAAAAACCAACAACAACAGCAAAAGCCCCCTCTGCTCCAGGCACTTGGATTTGGCTCTAAGAACCTAATGTGGACAATCAGGTGCTAAGTGAGGTGAGAATCGACTGCACTGGGCCCTGCTGAGCTCACGCTC